GAATCCTTATCAGAGCACCTGGCAGTAGGCCAGACATGAGTGCATCATCGTTATTCCAGTAACAATTATTATCCCACAATATGGAGCCCAGCAGCTTGGCTCTCTGTCCTTGGGGAGACCATGTTGATATTGAGCTTCTCCATCATAATGGGGGCCCTGTGCTGTGGCGAGTGTGACTGAGCTTGTATGGACACCAGACAGCATATTTACAGGGGAGGGGGGTCCCCTGGCCTCAACTGACTGCCCCTTCCCATCTAACTGAGGCTCCGTTTCCAGAAAACACATAGTCTGCTGAGTCATAGGGAGCCTCTGGCCGAGAAGGAGTTTCCAGACCCAAGAATCTTCACCGGGAAAACTCTAGAAAGGTCGACAAGAGTGGGAGGTGGAGGAAAAATCTCCAACAACCACGAGGAAGACACCAGGGTAGCCTGTGGCCGGGATGCCCGTGGCCCAGGTATAAAGGTGGCCTGGGAAAGTAGCCTCCAGACATCACCACCCTCCACCCCGACCCCACCAGCCACCTGCCACCATGTGCCACACCAGCTGCTCCTCGGGTGGCCCATGAGCCTGCCCTGGCCCCTGTGCTGTGTCCCCACCTGCTGCCCACCCCAGGGCTGTGGGAACTCCTGCAATCGGGTGGCCTCCTGTGTCACTCTACTGTGTTGGCCCGTGTGTGGCATGTCTGTCCCCTCCAGCCAGCCTGCAGCTGCCAGTCCCTGTGCTGCCTATGGAGCTGAGGCCAGCCTGCTGTGTGCCCAGCCCCTGCCCAGTGTCTGTGTGCGTGACTGTGAGTCGCAGGCCCGCCATGTGCATGCCCGTGAGCTGCAGGCCTGCCATGTGTGTGCCCGTGAGCTGCTTGTCCTCCAGATGCTTCCAGCTCTCCTGCTCCACTCTAGTCTGCAAAGATGCCACCTGTGGTACCTCTCCCTGCTGCTGACAAATTATCTACCTAATCAATTCTCTGCCATTGATCACTGAAAGCTGTTCTCTGTCTAATTATCAGAATTCTTTCCACACACCTCGTTATCAGATCAGTGATGAATCCACATCCCACAGTGCTGCAATCTCCCCTTAGTGTTCTTAGCCAGGAAAGCTTAGGTGCCTGTAAGAAATAAATCTCTCTGCTCCCCAATTCTGGGTCTTTTTTATTATTTCCCCCAAAGCTGTTTCTCATTGTCCTTTGCTGTCCTGACCATGCTGATGCCAGCATGGTGTCTTGTCCTTGGATGCTTTTACCTGGACAGTCATTGCTCAGAGGTGGTGTTGCCCCTGGGATGTTCGGAAAGCCTCTCTGGGAAAAAACGGTGACTGTGACTGTTGAATCCAGAGTGAGTGTTTTCTTCCAAA